ACCGAAGTGGTCGAAGCGTCAGTGAATCACTCCACGATTCAAACAGGTGTGGCAGCTGCATTCCCAACTTGTTGTTGTGGTAATATGGTTGCAGACTACGATAGTCAAGATGATCAAGGCTGGACACTTCCAAAGGAATGCGTCCGTTGGGTATGATGTTTATTCACAGTATAGGGGTTGAGGGAACACAGTAGCAGGGAGTAGACTAGAAGTGACTAGAGACATCATCAGGATACGAATGAGTGTATAGTACTTGAGACGATTGTGGAGGTCATTTCAGTTCATGTCATATTATGTCATGTCCGTTCAGTTTGAAAAAAAAACAGTCTACGTATACTTTCGAACAAAACCTGGCCGATGTTGCATTACAAATGAGAACTAAAGAGAGAGGCCGTTTGGAAGTCCCCTTGACTTCTGTTCAGGCTGGCCAGTAGCCCCAGTTGGTCGAAACGTCTGTGAATCATTCCACTTCTCAGATGATTCAAGCAGGTGTGGCAGCCACATGCTGCGATTACTTTGCGTCCATTGCAAATTATGTGGCAACCTGCTGTTTCCCACTGCAGCAGTCATCTTCGTCTGGTTGATACAGGCTTTCATGTCGACGATAGACCAAGTTACTGTCAGTCCATTTTTTTTAAACAACCAGCCACGCATACTTTCGAACAAAACTCGGCCGAGGTTGCATTACAAATCCAGACCAGAGAGGAAGGCCGTTTGGAACTCCGTTTGACTTCAATATAGAGTGGTCAGAAGACCCAACTGGTCGAAACGTCAGTGGGTCACTCCACATCTCCGATAATGTAAACAGGCGTGGCGGACGCGTGCTGCGATTATTTTGCGTTCATTACCCTTATCCGTTGCTGACTGTGATGATGCAGTCAGACACGAATCCGAAACGTGCCTTCAGTCCCCTTATCTACACCTGTCTCCCATGACGCGATCGAGTGAGAATTCGAAACATCAGGCGAATGGGAATTCTGGCCCTAGCGATTTTATCTCCTTCTTTTCAACTGCCGCCTGAGCTCACCTTTTTGCTTCTATCAGGTGCAAACTCATCAGCTAGCTCGGCAGAGTCTGAGGCCTAATGTGGGTTTGAGGGTGACAGATGAGAAGAAAACTTGCCACCTAGTTCTCCCTCGACCCGATCACTTATTTCGCCTGCTGAAGTAGTGACCTCATTCTGCACAAGCTCTGATGTTGTTGTTGTTGCTGTTGGGGGTGAACTCATGCCCTCGCCTGTACAGCCGCGTAGGCGAAAGGAGGGCAAAGCTGCGCCCTCTCTGCCTCCAGCTCTCACATCTGACATGTGTCTCACCGGTTGACATGGCTGTCTCGTCTGCTGTGGGCGCGCGGATGTGGGGAGGGGTGGTCGGAGTCATGTGACAGACAACCTGAAGGCGATCGGGCATCATCGGGTCTGTTGGGTGTGTTTAGTGGGCGTGTGTCACGCGCCTAAGGGCCAAAACACGTCTAGGAGACCCGAAAATATAAGCAAAATTTGCATGCAGCAAAGGCAGAGAGGACATACATCAGTGGCGCAGCACTGTTCTTCAATTGGGATTCTTCACTCTCCAGCCCGAATCACCTAGACTGATAGTAGAAACAGAGCTTGGAATGCAACATTTCCAACGCCAGGACTCGCTTGCTTCACCCACTTTCCTAGACTTTGGTGATACGCTTCCGACGACTATTCCTGCGTTAGAGGGTCTGTTGATCTCATTCTTCTTCTTCTTCTTCTTCTTCTTCTTCTTCTTCTTCTTCTTCTTCTTCTTCTTCTTCTTCTTCTTCTTCTTCTTCTTCTTCTTCTTCTTCTTCTTCTTCTTCTTCTTCTTCTTCTTCTTCTTCTTCTTCTTATTCTTCTTCTTCTTCTTCTTCTTCTTCTTCTTCTTCTTCTTCTTCTTCTTCTTCTTCTTCAGGAACGCTTCTTGTGTACATTTTGAATGGTTTCTTCGGCTGCAAAATTATCCATAATTTGGCCGAAGCCAAGTCTCTCAAATGGACTTCTTTATACTTCCCTTATAAACCGTCTTTGTTTTCCAAGCGGGTTTCAAACTTCCGAAATCATTTCAGAATGAATTTCCTTTGTACAGAGTCTAGTCTTGCTGCCGTTAGTAGTGATAGTCGGTCAGATCTGAAAAGAAACCTGCATTGATTTATCAGTTGCAACGTTTGCGTGTGCATACAGTGTCATGCCCTTAATGACAGGAAGGTCTGCGATCTGTTAGAACACGTCAGCTAACTGAACCCGCCAGCACTAAATGTATTAGCATGTCAGGCGTTCAGTCTCCCTCGCTTATCCTCTCATTAACCTCGTGTATCCGTACTAGTTAGGTAAAATTACGTCTACTTGTAGTGATATTGGCCAAAATGGACATATTTGGTAGGCAAGTGAGGCGACCTTGATGCGTTGAACGCCACCTGGCACTTTCTTGCAGTTGCTGTTGACATCTGGCACTGCTAATGCACTAGACCAAACCTGGTGCCGCAACGACAAACAGCATATATTGATCGCGCGCTGCGTGAGGCCTTCACTACTGATATGCCCCAAAAAGCCTCTGACCCGTGACGTAAATGCACGCGCGAGCGAGACGTGCACTTTACGCTCCCCCCTCCCCCCCTCCCACCAACCAAATTGTTAAACTGAGTCAGCTGGGCCACAGCGTTGCCTCAGCGTGAATCAGTAGGTGGGTGGGTTTCGACACCAAGCGTGTGCGCTCAGTCAGCTGTCAGCGCCTCGTCTTGCGATAGCACTCGATTAGCCTACCAGGGTGGGGACGAACAACAGAACAGGGGGTGATAAGACTGGTGGGGTAGAATGCGGTGAAGTATGGACAGAAGGCGGAAAGACCAATTCCAGGTCGTTTTAAGGCTGTCGGAAAATGCACAGCAGAGGGGGAGACGACGTTTCATTGACCTTCTATGGATTACAGGTTCTGTTAGGTCGCGATGCCTATGACTCGAGAACTCGACCGTCGCAAACGGCAACGCCCACTACGTGTCCTACCGAGTAAGGGCAGCACCGGCGACATGCAAGTGGATCGGCAGACTTGCAAAGCATCTACCGCACCGGGCTCCAGCGGTATGACAATGTCAGGACGGCCAGAGCTGGGCTCGGAGACAGTCGTCTACGTGTTCCACACGCGGCCTGGTCACGCACGATGTACCAAGTTTTGACAGGAACAAAGCGAACGACTCGGATCTCCCGTGTGTGTGTGAAGGAGCCATGGGAGTTACAGTCAGAAGGAGTCATTGGGCCTGACTCATTCACCCAACTGACCACCCGCATGCACACGCACCACTGGTCACGCGAACAGAGTTAATAATGGATGCGTTGAGTTTTTATATGGGACTGGACCCACCACCATCAGTCACACTCCCTCTTAAATGCACCGTGGGCGCAGGGCTCTACAGCCCGTCTACGCGTGCCCCACACGCCCTGATCACTTCATCTACCAGGATACTGCAGACGGTAACAATCAGGAGATGGCACCCAAAAAATCCGTTACCTAGAAATAATACCTCTAACAGTGGACTCAAACGCCTTCAGCCTATATCAGCGGTTCCAGGCCTACATTCTTGCACTACTTGGACTTTCCCCGACGGCCTAACATGGGCTGGCCGAACGAAGATCGCTGGAGGTTACATGGACGATGGTCACTATTACCTAACCTTCCCCATCGTTGCACACGTACACCTGAATATACGGCATACATTCGCATTATGGCAGTTTATTAAAAAACAAAACCACTTTTAAATAGGATAAGTCTGCACAACAGGGGACAGGAATAGTTCCCAGGCATCTGTCAAAGACATGGCATTGAGGCCACAGCAAAGACGATACTGTACTTCGTCTATGTGGGCCCACACAGCTCGACCACATACAGGGCCTCCCTCGTGGAGTTTCCTTTTCAGTCTACTCCAGTATGCCTCAATGACATTGGTGTGCCGTCCGATGGTAGGGTCCTTGAGGTTCTTTGAGTGGTTAACAGAGAAATGTAGATAACGTTCTGAGGGAAGACGATTCTACGCCTTCCACTCGTCCGTTACCACAATACTGCCTTAAGCGACCCATTTTCTAATAACGGAAAGGAGAGCGGGTCAACTTCGATCATTCACCTGTTCAAATAAGGCTCTCTGTCAGCTAGTACCGTACATCCTCACCAGCCATCACCCACAAAAACCCCTATTATCACCTATCCCGTAAGACAGACTGCTTTGGTTAGGCGGATTTTTTGGGGGCCATCTCCCGATTGTTACCCTGCAGACAATATGCTTCCTACCCATGTAATGTGTTCATGTTCTGACGTGTGACGTTACGCCGGCCATGACGGTGGCGGCGGTGAAACAGAGGGCATGCTTGTTGACGGAAGAGGTGTGATTTGGTGGGTGGTGTTTGGGGGGGGGGGCTATGTAATCTAGGGATGTGTGCCTGTACAAGTGGGTTGAGGTATGATAATGGGGTCTGGAGTGTGTGGTTCTATTGAAGGTTTGCGTGGAAGCGTACATGACCAAATAGGCCCACGCATTGACCGAATACCCTTGGGGACTGTGGGCGGATGAAGTGAATGCGAAGGGTACTGTTACGCCGGTCTTTGTCCAATGAATTCTCAAGTGCCCGACCAGCACATGCGTGTAACTGGCGGTGTGGCGATGTCATTAATGGCTTTGACGCTGGTGACGACAGAAGAGTTTACGGGTGTAGGAGTCAGGATTGTCCCGATGACATTGTGGAGAATTTCGCTGCCGTGGATACGCATATGACCAATTAGACCCGTGTGGACTTTGCAAGCAGATGGGGTACGTGCGACGTGTGTACGTTGAGGCTATAGATACTGGTTCGCCGATCTCCGTGCGATGGATTCACAGATGACCTGTGGTGAGAAATTGCTGCCGCAATTTTTACGGTTGCAAGATGAGGGGGGAATTAGTCGTGTTTAAATCGCATTGGGTCCGCAGGTGTTCGATAAGACCGATCCGTGCCCTGAACGTCCGTTGACGACGTGAACACGATGGCAGGACTTGGGTAGTCGTCATCGGGCCTTAGCATCTGGTTTTTACAGGTCTTTCTTTTCGTCTTGGTTGTGATAATTCAGCTGGCTGACCTAAAGGAGGTCTGCGGTCCAACCTTTGGTACACAACAGAAGGGCTCCGCAATACAAACTTCTTCCATGGATTCTGGCAGGCATTATCGGAATGCGCACCATAACAGATACCAACATTTCGGGGTGCGGTAGAACACCCGGTTGTCGGCGAGTGCTAGTAGTATTATTAGTAATTGTGTCTGCTCCTAAAACTACCCACGCGGTAGGTGCGCCGAACCAACACGGGGATACAGCGGATTCTGGCAGGCGTTCTAGGAGGTGCGCACCCATAATAAATGCCAACATTCTGGGTGTGGTGGCGGGCCCCGGCGCAGGCTTACACCGCGACAACTGAGATCCTAGCTAAATCTCATCTTTGCTGTTTTTGGCATCCTGGCCAAGTGTTTGTTGTGGACCGAGGAGTGTGGTGATACATCTGAGTGTAGTTCTACGCCGTGCCAGTCATCTAACGCCTCTTCCGCTTCCGGTGGTCTTGACTGGGCTATGAAACCAGGCTCAGGTGGGGGAGGAGGGGAGAGTGTGGTATATGCTGCGGAAGTCTACTATCACGCGCAAGTCAGCGTCCCTGCTGTTGCCTTGATGTGGAGCACACGGTGGACATAGTCGAAATCAACAGAAACGAAGAGACGAGGCCCAGGAAGCAGTCGTGAAGATGGAGACACGATCGCTGGGACAAGTGCTCTATTCGCCTGACGTTTCGGATTCCGGATCAAACCCATCAGCAAGAATACGAAACGTCGGGCGAATAAAGCTCATGTGCCAGCGACCGTGTCTCCTTCTTCATCGTCGAGATCGACGGCCGAGCATTCAGTAGTAATTGTGACTACATTTGCAATCGCACGACCACCACCACCACCGCCGCCGCCGCCGCCGCCGCCGCCGCCGCCGCCGCCGCCGCCGCCGCCACCACCACCATCACCACTGCTGCTGCTGCTGCTGCCGCTGCTACTACTACTACTACTACTACCACCACCACCACCACCGGAATAATGAGGGGAGACGGCGGTGACCAGTGTAGGTGTCTTAGTTAGTTGTGATATCATCAACCATAGAGTGTACCTTCGTGTAGATGCGCGAGCAGGCGAAGAAATACTTTTGTGATCGAGTGGCCTGCTCGCACGCTGGCCTCGCCGTGGTAATTAGATGTGCAACACTTGCATCGAATAAATTAAACGATAGGTGAAGAGTGCATACGCCACGAAAGATCGCCCATCATTATCGATTAGGACCCCCACTGTCTAGGAAACACTACAGTCATGACTTCAGGGACGTGTTCGCGTATAATCAGGGAGACTTACGACGTATCTACCTCCTCTCACTCTCTCCACACTTCCCACATTTCAGCGGCAAGACACATTAAGAATGACGTTGACAGTCGTTGAAGCAGTGGCTGACAGGGCCTAACAGTCTGTCTAAGCGAGCTATCCCGTTATTTAGCAACCTTCCAGATCAAGACTGTTACCGCGTCAGGTTGGATTCAGGGCATCGTCAGGATCGACCGCGCTCGATTTTCTCTCTTCTGTGCCTCCTCCT